TAGATTCATAAAAACCTAAGAAATCTTTCAAAATGCAATATATTTTACCCAAATAAGAGTCTCTCTCTCAGTCAAGTAGTTTAATACTTGCTTTCCCCCTACATCCCACAGAAAATGCAGTCACATATGCGCATGCAGGCACTTTCACCAGCTAGTTTGGGGGTTGGGACCTGCTCTGGTATATGGGTCACATCCCCTTTCAGTAGCCATTAGATGTTAGTAGCACCTTAGCTAGTGGTGGGATTACATATCCACTTTCTGACTTCTATTTTGGGGTTTTGTTTGGCTGGAGTTTTTGCAGGTCTTGTACATGGTGTCACAACTTTGAGTGCACGTGAGTATCTGCTCTGTTATGTCTGGAAAACACTATTTCCATGAAGTTACCCACCACTGGCTCTTAACAATCGTAGCATCCTCCCTTCTACAAAGATCCCTAAACTCTGTACTGAGATAATGAATGTCTGATTTGGGGTTGAGCATTCAGTAGGGTTTTATTCTCTGCTCATTGGCCAGCTGGGGGCTTCTGTGTTAACTGTCAAGAAGTTTCTCTGTTGAGGGTCTAGGGATGTGGTGATTTCAGTAATTAGGAGTTGTTTTAATACTATGTCCATTTAGCAGAGTAATAGTATTGGGTTTCCCCTAGGTCCCATGACCTATGTAGCCATGGGTTCTTGACCCCTTTAATAGTGCAGTGTTTCAGTTCCATATTATGAAGTAGGCCTTTGATGCCATCAAAAAGTGGTTGATGACTCCTATAACATTTGTGCTAGTGGACCTATTTTGTCATGCCAGTCATTGTACTTTGCAGGTTTCATAGCTGGGTGAGATTGAGATTTGCTTTTCTCCTCTGGCAGCATGCATAGAACTTTCCAGCTGCATGGATGCTAGCCAGTAGGGATAAAGTATGCAGGTGAATACCAATTTGATGTCTCCATATTCTGTGATTCAAGTTTGAGGTGTCTTCAGCAATAGGGTCTTACTCTCAGGTTCTGGAGGGTAGTCAGGAGTTTTGGCAATAGTCTGTAATGGTTGGGGTGGAGGGCTCTATCTGACCCTGTTGGCCAACAACTCAAAAACAGGTACCCTGTTCCTGACATTGGGGTTTATATCTGGTAGCATGGGGTATGTAGTTGGGGGGGGTATTGTCTTCTCATTGTGGGCTAACTCCATTTTATTTTATATATATTTATACATGATTTACTTTATTTTTATTTTATGTCTATGGGTGTTTTTCTTGCATTTAATCTGTATACCACATGTGTGCCTTGTGTTTAGGCTAGAAGAAGTTATTGGTTCCTCTGGAACTAGAACAGATGGCTGTTAGCTGGCATGTGAGTGATAGGAACCGAAACTGGTTCCTCTAGAACATATGTTCTTACCTACTGGGCCATCTCTAATATATGTATATATTTTAATTTTTTTAAGTTTAAAATTTTGTGTATGTGTGAATGTACATTTCACAATGTCTGTGGGGGCCAGGTTCTTTCTTACCATGTTGGTTCTGAGCATCAAACTTGTGTCATCAAGCTTGGCAACAAGTACCTTTAGAGGCAGAGCCATCTTGTTTGCCCGATCTTAGTAGTTTACAATTTATTCGTTTTGCCTTGACCATTTTCTAGATGCGCCATTTGCTTTAGTTGTGTTTACGTCTTCTTTCTTATTGTTATTGTTGATGTTTTAATTAACTTTCTCGCCTGACAGTTTAAAATATCTAGAATTGAACCCAGAGCCTTAGGCATTCTTTCTATTCAAACACCTTACCACTACTCTTAACCACGGAGCTAACAAACAACCGCCTTACCCCACTCCAGATAACTTTTAATACGATAAATTTTAGCCCTGTATGTCACTTGTTAAAATGTAACACTGAGGCATCTAGGGCAGTGGCTACTGCCTATAATTCTGATACTGGAAAAGTAGAAGCAGGTGAATCAGGAGTTTAAGAATAGCCTTAGTTTGAGGCCAACCTGAATTGTATACAACCCCGTTTCTCTAAGAAAGAAAAAAAAATAGCACTCAAATAACTTAGATAATGTTGTTAGTACTAGACCTTAAGGAGCTGGTGACTGCTTTTGAGCTGTAAAATCTATTTTATTATTAATTTGGGCTATAAATGCTCTTTTAGCTGTCATATTTCATCTGATTTATCACTGCCAATGTGCCCTAATGTCTCTAAACCATCTTGAATGTTTGTGACTGACTTGTACAAATTATGAGCAAGACCACACGCTTGTCTTGATGCAGTTTAAGAGATTCTGTTCATTTAAAACCATTGTGGTATTTTAATTTACATTTAAGATTGTTACTTTTCATTATGTGTGTATGTGCATGTGTGTAGATATCAGCACAGGCCAGAAGAGGACATTGAATTCCCCTGTAGCTGTAATTACAGGCGGTTGTAAGCTACCTGATTTGGGTGCTGGGAACTGAACGTGAGTCTTCAGAACCATATCCCTAGCTCTTTAATTTACATTTATATTGTTTCTTGTACTTATGCCACCCAGCCATTTCACTTAATCTTTTAAATTGAATAAAGTTGTTTAAATATTGCCTGTAAAATATTCCAAAATCTGAAGTATTTATTGTTAGATACTGAACATAAAAGATTCATACTTAACACCTAAGTAATTTTTCCTGTGATAGGAATGGAATCTAGGGCCTCATACATAGCTATGTGCTCTACCAGTCACTCTTTTATGAGAAATAGAATGTATGCAATCATAGTAATAGTGTGGCATTAAAGGCAATAGGATTTTTTTCTTTGCTAAAACCATTAAAGATTTCTTTGTGTTTATATTCTGAATACTTTTCACCGAAGAAATGTATTTGCTTATCAAGTTAATAGTAGTAAATAACGAGAGATAGTCAGGAGAAGTGTCTATATACCTTACCTAGGGTTTCAAAAACCAGAGACCCAAGAAATGGCTCAGTGAGTAAAGGTGCGTGCTACAAAGCCTGATGACCTGAGTTCAATCCCTGGAACCTACATGGAGAGAGGAGAGAGCCTGATTCTGCAAGTTACCTGTGACTTCTGCATACACATCATAGGATGGGTGAACATAGACATTGAAGAGGGAATAAAAACGTAATTTAAAAGAATACAAAATGATTTCAATGAAAGTTTTATTTACAATACTGTTAGTAGCTTTAAAAACATTTTATTGTAGGGCTGGAGAGATGGCTCAGAGGTTAAGAGCACTGACTGCTCTTCCAGGGGTCCTGAGTTCAATTCCCAGCAACCACATGGTGGCTCACAACCATCTGCAATTCAATCTGATGTCCTCTTCTGGCATGTAGGCAGAACACTGTATATGTAATAAATAAATAAATCTTAAAAAAAAAAACAACTACAAAAACATTGTAAAATTAGTACTTCCCACACTGTACTCAACAACTGGTTTTTCTTAGCATGTAATAAATTGTATTCTGATACTCAAACCCTTTTGTAGCTCTTAAGCTTTTAAGTATTTACATCGTTTGGGATAGGTTCTCCAAACTTGTTGGCAGATACATTTTCTTGAGATAGTAAATTTCAGTATACACAGTTTGAAACTGTTCCAGTCTCTACACTTCAGGGCTGTACATGAGGAAAAATGAAGGCCTTCTAAGTAGACATTCCATGAAATTTTGATGAAAATATTGAAATTGTGTTTTTAATGTACATGCCAAACCTGAGAGGCTACCCAGAGATTTGAGAAATCACACACACACACACACACACACACACACACACACACACGCACACACACACGCACACGCACACGCACACACACACACACACATATATATTTTTCTTTTGGCCTTGATGACTCTAGGATGCCTTACAACAGAAACATTATGGAGTATTTAAGGAAATTTTGACATTGATAAAAAGACTGTAAGAGTAAGAACTTTGTCGTTGCCTGTGAATGGAAGAAACAAGTGTATCTAGTCCTGTGCCAAGTACTGTGTGACCTCTTAAAGAGAAATTTCCTTTTTTTTTACACGTGGGTTTTGGAGATCTGAACTCAGGTTGTCAGGCTTATGCTGCAAGCACTTAATGAGCCATCTCTGGGGACCAATTTTGACATCTTAATCATTTTGTCAGGTCTCTTAAAAATGAAGGTAAGAGAGGAGAGGATAAGTTTCCCATGATCTGTAGTATATGGCAATTGGAATATGTCACCAAACTCTGTCATTTGTATTCTTCAGTGTTCAAGGGAGTTAACAGCCTTAAAGATTGTGTTTTCTGAGAAAGGAAATAGGAGAGTAAGGGTATATAAATATTTGGGGAGTGTGAGATAGTTAGAATTAATGTGTTTGACTGATGTTTTATAATAAGGAAAAGGTAATTGGAAGGCAGTTTAAATCTGGTATAGATTTTGGCAAAAAGTGAACTGTTGAGTATTAAATGGTGGCTGTTCTTACTACAGAGATTGCATGAGTTTTCACCTAATTCAGTTAAGTTCTTCAATCTTGTATGAAAGATGGATAATGTTTGATTTGAGAATAAATTTATTTGTATCGACAGAGATACGTTAATAGTTTAGATTTGTAATTTATGAACAGAATTGTCAAAGTGCTCCTTTGTTTTATCAAACATTTTTGGAGTTTTGTAGATGGGAAAGACATTTATGCCTATATCAGTGGAACTTCTGATAAATACTTAACAAAGCTATTATTTTTAAAGAATGACACCCCGGTTGTATTGAGATATAAGAAAGATATATTGATTTTTGTAGATGATGATTTAGTGGAGGATATATATACATTATCCTAGGGAGGAAATATATTCATATATTCTTAGGATTTTTACCTATCTCTTTTTGTTTTTGTTTGTTTTTTGAGACAGGGTTTCTCTGTTTTGGAGGCTGTCTCTTGTAGACCAGGCTGGTCTCTAACTCACAGAGATCTACCTGCCTCTGCCTCCTGAGTGCTGGGATTAAAGTTGTGAGCTATCAACGCCTGACTTTTTTTTTTTTTAACCTATCTCTTAAACATTTGTGTTCTTTTATTTCCAGGCTGTTCGCTGCTACGAATCTCTGATCTTAAAAGCTGAAGGAAAAGTGGAGTCTGATTTCTTTTGTCAATTAGGTCATTTCAACCTCTTATTGGAAGATTATCCAAAAGGTAATTTGTTTTTCTGTTTATTGATTTCTTTGAATCAGATGTGCATTTAAAGCAATGATAATTATGCAGGGTGCTGCCACTTTTATTTGTAAGCAGCTATAAGCTCATGAGCTATAGTAAACTATAAAAAAAATAGAGTAGATGGAAGTGGGAAATGATGATTTGCTCCAGGTAAATCATCAATAAAATAAGCTCAGCAAAACAAACAAACAAACAAAAAAAAAACAACAAAAAACAACCTTATTGCATTGTGGTTTTGTTTTGTTCCATGAAAACCCCTCCTTTAAATGCTGTTATCTTAGTGTTTGAAATTTAGCTCAGTGATAGTGCTTGCCTAGCCATTTTAGGACCCCAGTGAGGGGTGAATTGGAAGGAAAAGTTCCTCCAGGGCTTACAGGAAAGGTAGTAAAAAATTAGTGTTCTTCCTGGTCTTTTCTGTAAATCTTGTCCATCTTAACTAGAAAATATTTGAATAAAACTCTAAGCTATAGTCATGTTAACTAAAGGCAAATAGTATATAGTATATCGTTCTCCATTTTTTAAAATATCTAAAACCTTTTTTTTTAATAGATAAAGATTAGAAATAAGGAATGCTTTAAGAAGATTTTACTAGAATGACTCAGGTGATAGGTACTTGTATATCCTTTATATCACTGACTTCTGTGGATTAAGAAACACAAATTTATTAGGATCTTAAAATGAAGGGTTTTATCCTGCTTTAATTTATCTTATGAATTCAAGAGAAAAATCAGTGCTTATCAGCAAGGCAGCTTTTAAACACTATAATAATGTTTCTTAAAACTTTTCATTGATTTTAAAGATTGTGACTCATAATTTATTCTCCTTCTTTTAGCATTGTCCGCATACCAGAGGTACTACAGTTTACAGTCTGACTACTGGAAGGTTGGTGTACATTTTCATGCCTATTTCCTATTTGTTTTTGTTGGTTATTGTTATAAAAAATGTAGCGCTCTTTTCAGTGTTTTGCTTTTATTATTATTTGAAAATGCAAGAGATTAGAAAAGGGAAATCAGTATTGTTTTGTTTGTTGTCTTTTAATTAACTACTATTAACTATTTTATTAAAAGGTATTAGATTGCTGACTTTTTATTGACCAACCATGAATGCATGTGAGATAAGTGAAAAATAAGCCAACTAACAGCTTTCACTTCTCATGTGCTTGGATTACTCGTTTGTGTGGTGCTGAGGGCCTTGTACTTGCTAGACAAGCACTCTACAACTGAACTACATTTCCCCCTCTTTGCTCATGTATTTGTTGTCCTTTTGTAGTCTCTCCTTGAGATCTTTATACTATATATTTAAATTGATTTATAGTGTGGCAAGTTTCCTAAAAAGAGAGAAAGGTGAAGTATAAACAAAGTAAAGATATTGGGAGAATGAATGTAAGATTGTTCTTGAAATAGAAGACGTGCGCGCACGCACACGCGCGCGCACGCACACACAGAGTAACTTGTTGATTTAGTGTTTCCTTCTTCCAAGATAGTAGTTGTCTTTATAGATACTGCATTTCATGACTTTTTTAATTTGGAGTATGTTTATCGTATCATATATTACATGTTCTTTTTGAGAATTGGGGAAATGCATTTTATTTTAGTTTTGTGCAGCCTCTTTAGTATTGTTCAGATTCCTTCAGAAGATGAAATAGGAAATGAATGATTTTTATTAAAAACAATTTTAATGAAATTAAAGAAAATTAAATATCAATTTTCAAAATGGATGTTGAGACCTTCTTAACTCTTTAATTTTGTGTATCCCTTAGTCACATAATGTTCTCATTTAGAAAATTGGGGGTAATGAGGATATAATGAAAGTAAATCACCACGTTATTAGATTTACAGTTAAATGTTTTTTAATGTTTTCAGAAGGCACATAGACTTCAAAGGAAATGTACAGAATGGTCTTAGTAAAATTTTTATAAAAAATCATGTGCGGAACCCGTTTACACCTTTTCTTTTTCTCAAACTAGTGTTTTATAACCATTGTTGGACTGTGTGCCCTGGTCCCCTTACACCTAGTGGCAAGATGATTCTGAGGAATGTTCCACACTGTTTACCAGAGATCTCCAGCAAGATTGAGTCCCAGTTACCAACAAGTATAATGTGCTCCATAATTCACCCTATATTAGCCTTCTTTCTTTCCTTCCTTACCACTTCACTTCCTCACAGGTGTCCAACTAGCTTAACTCACTAAATAAACTACTAACCAGTACTGAAACCTGTAGGTTTCAATATAACTGAAAAAAGAAGCAATTTAATAATTGTTTGAATTTTCCTGAGATTTATTTTTATTTTGTGTTGTTTTGCCTGCATGTACATCTCTGTACCATGTATGTGCCTGATGCCCAAGGAAGAAGACCAAAATAGGGAGTTGTATCTCTTTTGAACTGTGTGAGTTGCCATGTGGTGCTGGGAATTGAATTGAACCCAGGTCCTCTGGAAGAGCATCTCTCCCACTCATAGTTTAAATTTTTTAATGCTTAAAGAAGTAGAGAAATTTATAACAATTTAATAGAAGTTTTGAGAAAAGGAGAGTATGAAAGCTTGACTTCTAGAAACGATTTACTAAAGCAGATTTGTATTTTTGGTATAGTATATATGTATGCTCAAACGTTTGCCATTTTTGTAAACTATGAGTATGGTAAAGTGTGATGGTATATGCATCCAGTACATGGGAAACTGAGGGAGGAGTATTGCTTCTAATTCAAGGCTAGCCTTACTGTGTAGTGAGTACAAGATGAGCCAGGCACATAGCAAGTCTATTATCTCCACAAAACTAAATAAAACAACAACAACAACAAAACCCAAACAAAAAACGTAAAAGTAATTAGCTATTTGGATGTGACAGGGAGATGAAATGGGTAAGAATAAGTGCTAGTTCCTGTTTTTTAAACTACAAAAGAAATCAGTGGTTAAACCTATAAATGTAATTCACTAGGTGTTGCTTTTATTAATGGTAAAATTTGTTGTAGATGTATTTTATGAATTTCTGTTGAACTTTTGCTTTTCTGGTGGTAGTTCAAGATTTGGGGGCTGGGGCAGGAGGCACAGAAAACACACATACATGTGCATATGGGAGAAAGTAGGATAGCACAATCCAAGCATTTTCTTTCTTTTGAGGAATAGGTGTTTATTTTAAATTTGCTGATGAAATTCTGCTAGTTCCCTCCCTCACCCCAACAAATTTATTAAATAGAAACCAGAGTAGTTTTCCAAGTTGATTGGATTCTGTGCCATCTGCTTACTCGTAATTGTCATTTTGGTGTTTGTTACACAGGCTAATAATTTTACGAACTAAAATATTGTGAATACCATATTTTATAACAGTATAATATACATTACATAATAAATGTTTTCCATAAAATGCTTTCCTTTTTTCCTTCCTTTATAGAATGCTGCATTTTTATACGGTCTTGGTTTGGTCTACTTCCATTACAATGCATTTCAGTGGTAAGTTGACATACCCATACAGACAATTAGCTCCAGTTGTTTCTAATAAATAGTTTGTTTTAGTTTTTTTGGCTTCTATTTGTATTTTTTGGTTTGTATGTTAAATATAAAGTATGTTACTGTCAGTAAATCTTATGTTTTTAGTAATTTTCTGAGGTGATTAGGTTGTTCCTGCAGAAGTATTGACACACCTTAGATTATTTAGAGCTATTTGTGTTTTTCAAAGACTATTCATGGTATAAGATCCTAGTCAAAGAGCATAAAGAATTTCTCCATTACTCACTGTTGACTGGTGACCTCTACATTATTTAAACTGGAAAATGAATATGATTAAACTCATTCTCTGTGGGAGAAATGTCCATGATGGCTAGGATTTTTATTTGTTAACTTTTTCTGACTTCCTTAAAAAGTTGTCCACACTCTCCTGTCCCACATTTGTTAGCTTTTAGCAGCTGAGTACTAGATTAAATGTCTGTTTTCTTTCTCTTATAAAATGAGTTATAATAGTAGAACCTAAGTTTTAATAGATGTCAAATATGGGACCCTGCTACTGTGACCTTCTTTCTATCACTGCTTTTTTGTTTACCGGACAAGCTAGTGTATGCTCTAATAAAAAGAAGATAGAATTTGAGTAGCAATATTCATACTCTAACTTTAAACTGTATAATATAACTTCAAAAATAAGCTACTGTATAATCATTTGCCATTTGAAAAAGTTGAAGGTCGCTCAAGAGTGGCATGTTTTCTAAACTATAAATCCCTTTGTAGGTATTTTTAATTTGAAGCGTATCTTATTTTTGTTCTTGTCTCTTCTGTGTGCTAGATTTTTTTTTTTAAGTGAAGTGGACATGGTTAAAAAGTTTTTAGGAAGGGGATTGATGACTGGCCAAAGATTACAACTCTGTCATATACTTGATGTGTGTACTGAATATTATATTGACAATGATTTCCTTCATCTCTCTTAAAAAAGGAAACTTTTTTTGAGTTTGGAGTTTCTTCTCAGCGTTTAGTTTTGTTGGTTGAATTTTGATCATATAAGTTAGTGTACACCTTTGTGCTCTAATATAGAGTATTTTAAGCATCCAGAAGATGCTTTGCTTTGTCAACATTGCAAAGCTATGATTATCTTTATAAAACTTCCATTTTAAAACATTTATTTTTATTATTTGAAATTAAAATAATAATTATACCATTTCTCTCAAGCCCCTTCCATGCAACTCCCCCTTAAAAATATTAAAAAGAATAAGGGGGCGGGGGAAACTCAATCCAATGAAGTGACTTACTAGGTAGTCCTGGCTAGTCCAGAATTTTTACTAAGTAGACAGTGTCAGTATGAAACATAAGATCATCCATGTCTTCCTTCCCAGTGCTGGGATTACAGGCATACATCACCTTACCTGGCTTATTCTTGGTCACCACCATTATCTCTTAAATTTCAGTGCTGTGGCTGCTGCCTGAAATAATACATTCATTCAAAAAACTTCCCTGGCGATGTGTTCTCTTGCTTGCTGGTCAATCCCCACACCCCACCATCGGCACCTCTGATTTTTGATTTAGTTTGTTTTCAACTGCAAAAGTAGAAAACACACACTAGTCCTTGGTGAGATTTTCGTAGTGCAGACTGAAATGATAATACTTTTCTTAGATTAAAATTATTTTATACATATTTGGTGATAAATATTGACTGCTATTAGGAACTTTTACTTGAACACCAAATTCCTTGAAATTTGTTGAAGTGTTAGAAAGGTTCTTTCTTCCTTTAATTGTCTTTATAAATAGATGTCTTAGAGTATTGTATTTAGGTTGGTAATGTTCACTTAATATATTACTAGGAGCAACTTTGTTGACTACGTTTTTACTGTTAACCAGTTTCTTGACAGATTATGCTGTTCATTTTTTCTTGAGTTGATTTTTTTTTTTGGGTCTTCTTCATACATTTGTTAACTTTTCTAGTTTTAGTGACAGCCTCTTCTTAGGAAGAGGAACCCATAGTGGGTACTAATATATTGGAGCAAATGTTAGATCCTCATTTGAATTCTGATTATTTGGCTCTGTTATTATTAATACTCAAATCTAGGAGCTTAAGCTAAGATGCCCAGAATGAGAAAGAAAGATGGAAACACATGATAAAATATGCATAGTAGAGAACTAGAAATTGGTCTTTTAAAGTGGTTCCTTTATTTGTACATGCATATGTGCATGAAAGTGGTCAATTGCTAGGGTTACTTTGAGACTTGCATCCTCAAGTGGTAGTATAAAGAAATTTAGACAGGCAGGAAAAGATGAGGAAAATGAACTATTTCTAAGTTTAATTGAAGGAATAGAAACTTTTGTTTTAGTATAGGTTATAGCCATATCATTAAATATATACCTCTCTAAAAGCCCTTAGCAGCTGTTTCTGGCTTGTTCTGTTAGTGTCCTTTTCATTGATCAATAGTAGCATGGTCTTACTGAATCAAATGTAAAAGATAAATAGTTCTGTACTACATGCATGGGGTTTGGAATTTAGATTCCCAAACATAAATGACAGCTATGATAGGATATCATAAGGAGAGTAAGGTGAGATGAACTTTAAAGGACATATGTTAACACATTAATAGTACTGCTTTTTAGGATTCATTTCTATAGTTCTCAGTCCTGTATGTTCCTAAGGGTGAGGGAATTTCTGTTCCTCCTGTGTGTTCATTTCACTGAGTGGGTGGCTTTAGTGATGGTTTCAAAGCTTTCTGATAGGATGAAAGAGAAAAGGAAGTAAACCTAATGCAGTTTTGATACCGTTGATCCCGAGGTTTGTCTGGCATGGAGTTGGGGAAAACTTCACATTTAATGGTTATTGAGCTATTTTGTTCTGTTGGGGAAGGGGAGAAAATTTCACTAAGGCAGTTCTGACAATATCAGTTTACTAGTAACACAACGCTTACCAGAAAGAATTTGTAAGAGTTTGGTTAGTTAAACTAAAGGGAAATTAGGGATAAGTATTTGAAATTTACAGTTCAGGCGGAGAAAATGTGCCCTACTTATTGAGTGGTGATTGAAGATTTTCTAAAGAGGGCTAGAGAGGAAGGAGTGATTCACTAACAACGAACCTGCAACGTGCTCTTTCTAAGCCTCACATTTCCTGCCTCTTCTAATTCAACCTCAAATGATCCTTGTAGCCCAGTTCTTGCCCGAGTTTATTTTTTGTGCTAGTCACACAACATTAGCATTTCCTAAAGAGACCAGAAACATTTGTTACCACTGTACTTTGTTCATGCCATTTCCTATTTGATCTGTTTTCTCTTTTCCATTTCCATCCTTGAAAATCTTTTCCACCTGTCTCTGATTATTTCATCAAATCTTTCCAATTTTCTCTTTAAAAGAGCCTGGAAATTTCTGAATGTATTATGTATATGTTCCTTATATACTATAAAAATATATTTTACTGCTAATTTAGAGCTAGACTATTCTTTAATTTATATGAAATATTATATAATTTGTTCACTGACCCTTCATCTGTTTTTGAGGGAATACACTGAACGTAGCATTATTAGCCCTAGAGACCTCAACTTTTTTATTTGTTGTTACAAATGTGTCAAAATGGTAGGGGCATTTTGTTATTTGCTATAGATCTAGACTTCCTTCCTTCCTTCCTTCCTTCCTTCCTTCCTTCCTTCCTTCCTTCCTTCCTTCCTTCCTTCGATTTTTCTAGAAATCTGCTTTAAAAGTAACCATTATTTTAATGTATATTTAGCACGAGTGTTTTTGTGGAATTTAGTGCTATTGGGGATTTAGGCTGTTATAATTTTCTTTTTAAATTTATGATTAAGTGAAATAATCTGGTGACATAAAACTTGTTTCTAGACTATTAAAAATTAGCAACAGCTCTAGGCACAGAGAGATGTTCCTCAAAAAAATCTTTTTCCCAGTGGAACATCTGCTTTACCAGTTTGAAAACTGAAACTTTCTAAGCATTGCTTTTTCAAAGTATTTCTTTTAGTAGCCACTTGCCATGCTTTAAAATTCGATCAGGATAAAATATTTAATAGTAATGTTCTCTAGTTTATGCTACAGAGACCATATTCTGGCTCCATCTATTTTTGGAGACATAGGAATAAAATATAACAATAACCAAAATTTGAAGGTAACCTTAGTGGTACCCCCCTTTTCTATTTTCCTAGGATGTGGAATGCTCAAGTATCATACAAGAGAAAAGACACCAAAGGTTAGGCAGAAAACCAAACTTAGATATGTGAATACATGTATTGTCTGTTAGGTGAGGACGGTTCTTCCATTGGTTGTATTCAAGTGATGGCATCATTTAACATCTGTTAAGTTGATTTGTTCTTGTTGATGATGAGGATGATACAGAGAAGAAGAATGATGCAGACCTGAAGGAACAAACTTAGAAAAACTGGAGACAGTGCATCATGGGTAGAAAACAACATGATTTGATTATATATAGATAGGATCTAATTACTTTTTCCACTAAGTGGAAAATAGTTAATACTCAATTTGCATGGTGAGTCTTGATATCAATTTAGAAGGAAGTTAAAGAACGAAAATATTCTAGGTCAGGAGAATATAGATAGCATAAAGAAGTAGTGAAGATACGAGTGCCAGTATTTGCAGAAAGAAATAAGCCATTTCACAACTAGGGAAAAACAGCAGCAGCCAGATGAGATTGGAGCTGACTGGCAACTACCCACAGATGTTAAATGTAACACAAAGGTATGCTTATTAAGTTATTAGTGTTACAGTTATTAGGCGATTACAAGACCTACCTATTTGAGAAAATAAATGCAAGAGACAGACACACACACACAAAGTTTTTAAGGAATTTTATCAATATTCTACGGATGTGTATTTAGTGTTTCTGAATCTAGGCTGATTATCTACTCAGGAATTATGTTAAAACAAAACCATCCTTGTCCACATCCAAAAGCACTACATTTAGGGGAAGAACTAGAATTTTAATTTAGACAGGAAACACTTTTGCAGGCGTGTTGTTACAGTGTCATGCAATCTTACCTTTTAGTTTTTCCCCCTCTCAAACTTTTTTGTCTTTGCTAATTTTTCTGCCTTTCCATTTTTCTTTCATGTCTGTGCCTCAGACCTGACTGGAGTTTTTATTGGCACTTGTGGACATTGCTTAGCAGTTTTTCTGACTCAACTCATAAGGACATGATTTTTATATTATTTGAGACAGGATCTCATGAATCCCAGGCTGACCTTAATCACTGGCTAGGTAGCCAGGGATGACCTTTAATTTCTAATCCTCCTGCCTCTGCTTCGTCATTGAGATTGTCAGTTTTTCCCAGCACCTCTAGTCTGTTTAGTGCTGAGGCTGGAACCTAGGCTCAGCTACATCTTTATTTCATTGTTTTTCTTAGTACAAGTACACTTTAAATGGTTTAAATAATAAATATATATCATGACACTGGTATCTTTAAAAAAATAGACATTAATATAACCATCATTTGGGTGAAGAAGCAATACATTACCACCATCATAGACGCTTCTGAACTCTTTCTTCATGCTGTATGTGTTGCAATTGGTATACTTTGTTGGTAAGTATTCTTTGTCTTCTTGGCCTGTTTTGTGGAGAGCAAGGGACTGCTGCTAGATCTGAACCCAGGGCTTCATACACTCTTGCACTGAGCTCTTAGTCCCTTTTTTAACCTTCTTGATGCTTCTATCCACAGACATGCACTGTCTTCTCTTATTGTGCTTGCATTCATTGACACATTTTGATGTAAGAATTTAAACCACCCCATTCTTTTCTGTCAACCCTTTGACCCCTCTCATATTCTACATTTCCCACACACTTATTGACCCCTCTCATATTATACGTTTCCCACACACTTATTAAAAATCATCTAGCAGCTGAATACCTATTTATTCAGGAAGAAAGTCAACTACTGCAATATAGAGGTATAAAGGTCTGATGCCAAACCTATGTTCCTCCTGCCAAATAAACTGCCTGGTAGAAGTCTTTTAATATTGTAAATAAACATGCATATAGTTTTTAAAAAAATACTAGATAAAGCGTGATTCATCAGAATAAGTTTACTAAAGACACATGAAATACTTTGTGGTTTAATATTCTTGTACAAAGGGTTAGCCTTTTTTTTTTTTGAAAACTCTTAAGATTCAAAATGACTGTAGGACTAGTGCTAACTCTTAAAGAGCTTTGCAAAGAATATATGATACTGGTAGAAGTTTTAAACCAATAGGATTTCAATACTATTCAGCATAACTCAGTAGATGATTTTTTTATTTTACTGTTTCCTTTATGTAATTACAAGAATTTTATGACATTTATATTTTTAGAGACAGGGTCTCATAGCCCAGACTGACCCCAAACTCATCATCTTCCTTGATCTCTACCTTCTGTCTCCCTACCTCTAGCTTCAGTCATGCTGAGTAAGCACTCTACCATCTGAACTACATCCTCATTCCAATAGATTTATAACTTTTAAACAAAAGCATTTTGCCATTGTTTACTCGTTTTGAACAAGGGTGGTTAACATGATCAATTTAAGCAGTGACAAAATAGAAGTCCATTGAGCAAGAAGCTTCTCTTTCCTGAATTTGTTCTGCTTGAAATCAACCCTCCCGTCCCATTAAAAGAAAGGAAGGAAGGGAAGAAAGGAAAGAAGGTGTACAATGATAATTTTAGGGCAAGAAACTGATAGACCAAGGAAAGTATCGATGGTCTTATATATAGTGTGGAAGTTCTTAGACATTACTATAGAAACGAAAACTCGTTACTAATGCATTATAAAAGTAAGATGCAAATGAATTGAACTCCAAAACATGGAAAAGCAAACCACAAATTTTTAAAAAGACTTATATAATCGAAATAGGATTAATTCCTCAACTTTCCCTCTTCCTTTAAAATCAAACTTTCTTATATACTCTAACTCTCTCAAGAAGTTCCAGAAGCAGTGAAACTAGTTATTTACACAGAATTTTAATAAACCATGAAATATTGTTTGCTTGGATAATTTGTAGTTAAATTTATCTTTCCCCTTTTATATAGAATTGAATCATATACATTTAATTATTAAAAGCGTAGGTACTCCTTTTCAGTTTTTAATAACACTCACATTCTACTTATAAATCTGACATTTAAATTTACATTATTTTTATAAATCTGACATTTAAAAATAGCTTTGCATAAAATAAGTTTTACTGTACTACCGAGCAGAAATGCATGCACGTGTTAAAAACTTAAGATATCTTATGTCTATATTCTTTCAGGGCAATTAAAGCATTTCAGGAAGTGCTTTATGTTGATCCCAGCTTTTGTCGAGCCAAGGAAATTCATTTACGACTTGGGCTTATGTTCAAAGTGAACACAGACTATGAGTCTAGTTTAAAGGTAGGTTGTGGGTTTTTTTTTTTTCAAGGTACAATGTTCTGTTTCTCTGTTGTTTAATATTAGAGCATTGAGAAATGTTGAAACTTATATTGGCACTTTCATAGAAAATTTATTTAGATAAAGGAACTACATCAAATGAATTGGAAGAAAATTGGGTTTCAGAATGCAATGTGTTTGATACTGGGAGCTGCCTGGTAACTAATCATACCATAATTAAGCTTTCATTTTAAGTTTTGTTAAAGGCTGTCAGGAAAGGATATTGGGGCACCTGAAATTCCCTGAAGAAGCGATTGTCCTCTATGTAGTGGTCACAGACAGCTACTTAATGTTTTACCCGGCTATCGACCGTTTTTCTTTACATGACTATAGATTTGTCTACTTCAGCCAGCAAGACGTTTTGTATTTAAATAAGAGTATTTTCATGGCATTTGGACTGCTTGTTTGTAAGTATAAATATTATTGGCTAAAGATAATATGTTGTTGGTTGAGTATCTTCCTACCAGTGGACATTTAATATCTCTCCCAATTTTCATTTTAAATTGAATTCCATCTGCCTTCATTGACATCGTTAGTAGACTTTCATGAAAACAACAACATTTTTTAATTTGAAAAGATTACAAGTTTTAGGGACACGTTTAAGATTTTATGCACTTAAGGTTTTATGACTATAATGGTTGCTGAGATTTGTTTTATATTGGTTATGATTCTAAAGGTTATGGGAAGGGTAGACAAGGGAGATAAAGAATAACTTCACATTTGGCTATAATTTGCACTCACTAGTGAGGAACTGCCAAGAGGTGTCTTGTTTTTTGTTTTTTCAACTATAAGTTTGCCTAATTGTTCTAGGGTTTTAAAGTAGAAAATTATGCAAATACTGATTTTTTCCAATTATTAATGCTTTCATAAGGAACAATGCTGATGAAGGTTATGCAATCAAGAACATTAAGACAAATAGATTGTAAAAAATTTAGACCATGTTAGTTGAAGGTAAGCTCAGTAGAGGAATAGGTCCCAGAATACCTTTAGTAGTGTGGGGAGTGTAATACCTTGAATTTACAGTTCTCCTTAGCTTTGTGAAAAAAATTTTTTTAATATGCTGTGATATATCATTGGTTTTGAAGTGGAAAATAAATTTAGATATATCACTTTATAAAAGTTCCTTCTGGATAGTCAGTTTTTATTAGCTATTAAAGACTCTTAACTATGTTTTTATCACACAAAATAAAGTTGACCACTTCACAGTATCATTAAAATATCCCTCTTAAGTTGCAGAAGGGTTCATAGTAGTTTAACAATTTTTATTTCTGGTATGCATTGGGGATGGTAATTCGATGTTTTCCAAATTATATAATATAACTATTCCTAAATGTAGAATGATAAGGTTAGTAATTGTATGGATAAAAATCTCTGGTTTCAAGAAAGCAACAATATTAAAAAGTTCCCTTAAATCAGGAGGGACAGTGTTCCAAAGCTAACTAGAAGCATTCATGTTTCACACTCATCTCAAATATTCCTGTATAGTTTTTCAGGGCTAAAAGGCTATTAATCTTGATGATGTTTATCTTACCAAAAGTGTTCTAAATAAAGGCAGCTTTCTTTTATATTTTTTGGTCATTTATTTAAAATAATAGATAGTATCCAAATATTTATTAAATTTCCACTAACATGGGTGACTTTAAGAATTCTTGATGGCTTTGATTTTTCCCTTCATTGATCTCAGCATTTTTGGTTCAAGAGCAGCTATTTTAGTGTATGATTGTAAGTGCTTAGCAGTGAGTGGAGGGGGGAATTGGAAGGAGGAGGGTGTGTCTACTTCCTTAGACTGCCTCCAGTTTCTACTTACTTACTCACCCACATATTCATTCATTCACTCATTCATTCTTTCTTTCTTTCGCTGGTATTTTACTTCCATCTGGCTAAGAGAACCTCTGATGACTCTTCTACCACATCAGATTTTTTTGTACCACAGTGTGTTGGAAGAAATGGTTTAGGCTACAGCATTAGCAGGTGAAGATCTTTCATTGAGCCTTGTATCACAAAAATCAGTGATTTAGAGACAGATACTGGGGTTCAACCTGAAGATCAGGGAAGCAAAACAGCTGGCCACTAGCTCTCACCTCAAGCTCAGGTAGAAAGGGCTGATCCACACATGAGCTTTTCACCTATCCTCAGACTGCTGCCTCTCCTCAGCTTGGCTGGAGAACCCTGAGACTTCAATGTGGCTGAAGAATTAATGCCTGATACTGAGTCCTTGCTCCTGTCTTATATACCTCTCATGGGATTAAAGATGTGGGCCATACTCTTGTAGGTCTGGGTGGCCTTGGACTCACAAAGATCCATCTGCCTCTTAATCCTGAGTCCTAGGATTTAAAAAAGGCTTTGCTTTCTGAATCCTCAGGCAAGCTTTAATAAATCACAAATAATATATCACTACAGAGCCTGATGACTTGAGTTAGTTCAAGAGTATCAACATAGTTGTCTTCTGACCTCCACACATGTATGCACACACAAACACAAATACATTTAATTAAGTAGCTCATGTGTGAGGTCAACCCGTTAGGATTAATTAGTTGAGTAAATTGACCCAAAGTTTCATGAAAGAAACTTTCCTTTTAGTTGTATCTTAACTTTTTTTTAGGGGAGAAGGGATACTAGTAGTGTATGTTTCTAATATAGTGTTATCATTTATGAGTAATGCTCAGTATGTAGTGATCATCATTCTTTCATTCAGGAGAATGATTCTATCTTCTTGTTAATCTTTTCAGAAGTATTTCACCTTTCATCTCATTAGCTAGAAATAATACAGGTGGCCATTCCTAATTGTTTATCAAAGAAAATGTCATTTTTAGAAAAGTTATCTCAGTCTTTGAGTAGGTTCAATCACTAAATATACTATTCCTACACATGGAGGAGTGAGATGAAAAAAAAGAATAGTAGTGAGGGTACTGTACATATTCCTTCCATTGCAGATCAGATTTTATTAAAAATTAACTTTGTGGAAGTATGTGCATATGTGTGCCGGTTTGGAACCCGGAAGAGGATGTCTTCTTTACTCTCCATTGACTCCTTTGAGGCATCGTCTTTTCCTAAACCCTTGAGCTCATAGTTTCTCAGCCATGCTGGAAGCCAGCAAGCCCCAGCAATTCTCCTTCTCTGTCCTATTCACAAGTGAAGTTACAGACATTCACATGAAACCCTGCTTGTTACATGGGAGCTGCCATCTGAACTGCAATCTTCCTGATTGTGCAGCAAACACCCATAACTACTGAGCTATATAGATCTAGCCTCTGATCAGTTCTTGTTTGTCATTTGCTTGTTTTTCCTGAAGAAAGATGTTTGCATGCTACTTTTTAAATGATAAAAACATTTATATAAAAATAATTTATTTTACGAATGGACTTGCCCATTCCACATGGAGGTATGCTCTCTCAGCCTGGACACATGGGGGAGGGCCTATGACACACTTTGGAGATTCCACATGGGGGGCCTCAACCTCCCTGGGGAGCAGAAGGGCAATGGGGAGGGAGTTGGAAGTTGTTGGGGGTGAGGGAGTAGGGGAGGGAGAGGGAGCTGGGATTGACATGTACAGCTAGCTTTTTTCGAAGTTAAACAAAAATAAAAAATTTTATTTTCTTAATAGATTTCTTTTGTCCAGGTAAGAAATGGATTCCAGAGCCTCCTGGTTTGTTTTTCAGTGTTTCATTTTTTATTTTATTTTAATTTTAAGTAGCTTGTTATACATGTCGATCCCAGTTTCTTCTCCCCTCCCACTGACCCCCCCCCCCCCCCAGCCTCCCACCCTATTGCCATTTCCTTCCACATAGGGGATATGTAGAGTCTGTCATTTCACTCAGGGCAGGGTCCAGGCACTTCCCTAAGAATCCAGGCTGACACACGAAGTCCGTTTATATGCCAGGGATGAACACTGATCCACTGTCCAGGGCCCCATAGGTTGCCTAGTCCTCTTCACTGACTCTCACACTATCCCTAAAACTGATTTAATCTATTTGGAACTATTTTAACAGCTCTCATAGCAAGCATATATTGTTACAAAAGTGTATGTGGATAAATATTTATGTTCATATACTCAATCATTCTGTATCTTGTAGTGTTTTTTCTTTTCTTTCTTTCTTTGTTTCTTTTTTTTTTTTTAAACCAGCTATAAGAATACCTTATTAACCTGAGATGATCTAGAATTTGCTATCTTCTTGTCTCAAGCTCCACTGCGAGGATTCACAGGTGTGTTCTGGTGCCCGAGGGACTAGAATTTGTGAGTTACTATGTGGATGTAGGGAGTTGAATCTGGATCCTCTGAAAGAGTAGCTGGTGCTCTTAATCCCTGAGCCATATCTTCAGTCCCTAGCCCTGAATTCCTGATCTTTCTTCCTGTCTCCTAAGTCCTATGGTATGTGTGATGATGTGTATACTACCATGCATCGACTGTGTATCTTTTTTTTTTTGTCAGTCTGCCCATCCTCAGAATATGAAGTTAATGACCTCATTTTTCAGTCCTTATGTCATTTTTCCCCATTAAATTGGCCAGCAAATACCTCCTGTGGTTAATTCGTGATGGACACAACATTTCTGAATTTGTAAACTGGTTTACTATATTACCCAAATAAGACTTCATTATCTGTGTTTCTTTATTGACCTTATATTTTTGTTATTTCAACTGTCCCTTCTTCATACTGATGTGTTCTCTCTTTATTTTATGTTGTTCCTATCTTACCTCTTCTGACAGTTTGGAACTTCTAGTCTTGAAGTGAATTGAAAGAGTATCTTACGCATAGGATTTAGCTTTTAAAAAGGTGATTGGAAAGTTCCCCTATCCTCCAGTAGTTTAGAAAGTTTGTTGAAAGCTTAAGACTTAGTGTTAGAAATTCTTCACTAAAGAATTGACATTGTATTGGTATGTCATAGAAGCTGTATATGTTATGAGAAAGGTCTGCTCTGTATTTCTAATCCCCCCCCCTTTTTTTTTTAATGAATTCCACACTAAA